CAGCCACATCAGTCCTCGTGCCTGCACGGATCTGGAAGGAAATTTTGATCAATCTGTGCCTCTTTTATGAAGGCACGTAGTGCACTTAATTTGTAGTTCTCATGCAAAATGCAACCGCTGTTTAGTTGTTTTTAAATCCTTATCAGCAGTGAGGCACTGTTTGTTTCTAAACAAGCAGAGGCCAGCGGTGGAGGGAGATTTCTCACTAATTGGAAATTATTGTGTGGGACAGGGCAGGAAGGGAGTCTGCCTTTTTGCCCAGACCGTATGTAAGAGAGAACCTCATGTTATGAAGTGCAATTATGAAAATGCATTCTCCCCTCAAGCTCTGAAGCACAGAAAAAGGGCTGATAAACGCCGAAATACTGACTTTGCTTTCCCAGCTGAGGAACCAGCAGTGACAGCAGCTACAACAAGAGCACTCTTATCCTGCAATCATGGAATCACAGAATGGTTTGGGTTGGAAGGGATCTTAAAGCCCATCCAGTCCCATCCCTTGCCATGGGCTATCCTTTCCACTATCCCAGGTTGCTCCAAGCCCCATCCAACCTGGCCTTGGACACTTCCAGGGATGGGGCAGCCACAGCTTCCATGGGCGACCTGTGCCAGTTCTGTGGTACATCCCCCTCGCACAGGGATCATTGTGGCTGGTTCTTCTGGGTGTACTGGGCCCACGTGATCATTTCTACAGCTCAAATCATCTTTTTTTGCCGCAGAAAACTTGATTCTAAAACTAATTTTTCCTTTCGACACACTGAGCTCTATTAACTCACCGGCCTTTCGTGAAGCTCATTAGATGTCTGGGGTCTTTCCCTTAAACCTTGAGGCTGAGGGAATAGTCTCATTAAATAAGATGGCAGAATCTCTGCAGAGAAGTTTTGCAGTTCGTGCCAATTAACAAATTTGATGATGGTTTTAGCTGTTCTTTTTCGGGTAGCCCAGAGCCCGTGGGCCAGGCTCACACTGCGGAGGCTCGTGTGCATTGAGAAAGGGCTGTTCATAACTAGAAGAGCTGCTCCAGGATTGGGAAGAGTTTGAAGCCCCTGGGAAGCTCTGAATGCAGAGGAGTGTGGGCATGGAGGAGGCCACCCCACAGAGAAAAAGGGAGCACTGGCTGCAGGATGTCCTGGGATGGGAGGACTGAGGCAGGCTGGCTGTCTGATGGCCTCTGCTGGAGATTATCATAAACCCTTTAAAGCAAACACAGTTCCCTGAAGCTGAAAAGGTACGATTTGAATGCGCTCTGAAAGAGGAGGTTTGAGCAGCACGATCCATTCTGTCTCCGAAATGTCACGAAACATTTGTACAGCTGCTCAGTTGGCATTAAAATGTAGGTCTTCTGCAGGAACATGGCAAACAGCTCCAGGTCACTGGGAGAAGTGCAAGACCTCCAGCAAAGGGTGCCTGGGGGCCACTGGTGTCCGGCAGCTGGGGCAGGAGCATCGGGACAGCTCTGGGAGCTGCTGACCCACAGCCACGGGCAATGCCAGCAAACACCACTCCTGAGTTCAGCAGGGCAGCCCACGCTGGGAAGTGGTTTCCCTGCACAGTGTGAAGGACTGCTTCCCAAAATCCCACATCCAGCCCAGTCAGAACTGAAAAGGATGGAGTAAAGAAACAAAAGGAGAGGGAGGTGCCAATATGGGCAGAGATATTCCCTGTTCCCTTGGCTGCAAGAGCAGGAGCCAAGCTCCCTGGTGAGCACACAGCCTCTCCTGATGGTGGGATTCGGGAAAACATCAACCAGTCATTTCAGAGGGCTGGTTACATGGACAGAAGCATGGAGGCCCTGTCTGCTGGTGATCTCCTCTCTCCAGGTGTCCTTTTCCTCACAGCCCATCTCACCTTCTCCCCCCTCCTGTGTCACATCACGGGAGGCTGATGACGCTCACAGATGCCTCGGTACCTCCTGTGCCCTGTGCTGGCTCTGCCCCTGAGCAGCTCTGCTGCAGTGCCCAGGGGCAGCACAGGCACAGCTGCCACCTCAGTAACCATGAGAGGAGCTGGGAGGGGGATGCCCATGTCCTTGTGTCCCACCCCTCAGAGCTGCCCCGTGTGCTCGCCGACAGCCCAGGGCAGGTACCGGTGCTTTCCTTCAGCCCAGTGCCGAGCTCTGTGGCTTTGGTGAATATCCCAGCTTTGATCCTCTCTCCTGGCTGCGGTTCCCTGTTTACACAGACAACCACAGCTCTTTGTATCCACACTCATCAGCTCTTCTGAGGAGTTTTCTGATCCCCATGATACGGGTCCCAGTGTCTGTGCTGGGGCCGAGCCCACATCTCCACATTTCCCATCCTGCCCCAACACATCCCTCTGAGCTCCTCAGCGCTGATTTGGGTTTGTTGATGGTGGCAGCCATCCCAGACAAACCCACGGGGGATGGAGCTCTCCTCCCCGGGCAAGCACGTCTTTTGTTCCCCAGAAGACCAACATAGGAGGAGCCCCACATCGAGCAGGCCGCGCGGTGAGCGCGGGCAGCGCTCCACGGAGGACATGCCTCGCTTACTCTGCCGCTCCTTCACGTGCATTAGGGGTTCTCTTTGTTCTGCTTTATTTTTTCTCTTCTTTCTTTTATCCTCCCAGCCCTTCTGGCAGGGTTTTGAATACACATAATGACTTGGAAGGTGCGTGGAAGGTTCTGGCAGCCGCGGCGCGGGGCGGGAGCGCAGCCAAGGCGCGGGGCCGCACAGTGGTTTCATCCCATTTGCAAACTATAAGGCCGCCTTTGAGCGGGGGGGCAGAGCAAGGAACATGTGCTAAACATCATGTCGGGGAGCTTAGCGCATTACAGGGAACAGCGGGCTGGCTACGGACAAATGGGAATGCTCTGGGATCTGTTAGAGGAGAGGGGAGGCGAGAGCAGTCTCTGGATTTAGGGCTGAGTGAGCAGCTCTGGCAGGGCAGGTACGAGGGGCTTCTCTAGGTGTTACAGCCAAGCAAGTGTCAGAGTGGCATAAATCAGAGAGCTCTGCCCGTGTCTGCCAAACCCTGCAGGAACTGCTCGGTGTCTGAGGGCACACACAAAGGAGCACAGGCACATGGTAACGACACAGAAAGAGAGTCCTTGGGAAAATAAAAACCCAGACACCAACCTGCAGCACGTGCTTCAAGGCTGGGCTCCAAAAACCTGCCACCTGGGGTGGCACAGAGATGAGCTGCTCCTGCTCAGCGCTGCTGTGTCCCAAGGGGCTCACGTGCCGGGTGTCTCCAGCAGCTCCGGAGTACAGGAGTGACCGGCTCGTCAAGTAACAACCTACCCACAGTGTTTGTGTGGTTCCCTTCCTGCCACACAGAGATCACAACATCTAATGTCCTGTGGTGGACCCTGGGTGACCAGGCTGCTCTCACAGCCAAAACACCTGCAGGACTGACAGAATCCATCCATCATCGTGCTCCTTGGGATGGTGGCACGGACGGAAGAGTAAACTTAGAGCTGGAGTTGTGGGTGCTGACTGATGGGATTGCCTGGGTCAGGTTCCCTGGGATTTGAGAGGCAGGTTCAAAGCTCCAGTTAAAAACTGACATCTCCCCTTCAAAGGAATTCCAGGCTGTTCCTCATTTTCCCCATCCATGGGGCAGGAGAGTGCCATGTCCGGGCTGGGACAGTGGGCAGGGGGCTGATGACAGCTGAGGCCAGAGGAGAGTGCCAGGGTCCTGCCGAGACAGAAGAGCTTCTCCAGACCTTTTGAAACTCTGAGCATCCACAAAATGAAAAGCCCAAGTGTCAGTTTTGGGAAAGAAAAAGGATCAAAGCAGCAGAGGGAAAGCTGAGAGTCTTTCGGCAGACAGAGGAGGGTGTTGTCCCTGCCAGGCAGAGGGTGAGCACAAGCTGCCTCACACACCTTGCTGTGACCATGGCTCCTGCACCACTGGGAGCATCTGCCAGGCCAGGCAGAGGGACCAGGTCAGGTGTCAGCAGCAGATTGGGATGGGATGTGCTGGACAAATCTGGCTGCTTCCAGCTCAGTGGCAAAGATGCTGGTCCAACAGCACCAGGCGTGTACAGGCTCAGAGCCTCTTGCAGCTGCTCCAGAGCCCAGCTGTACATTGGGGATCTCGTTCTAGGGCTGGACACATCTCCCCTTTTCCTGGTCTGGTGGATCTCTCTGGTGATGGTTCATGTCACAGTGAAGAGAAGAGGGTCTCCGATGGCTGTGACATTCCCTGCTCCAGTGCCCCTGCCATGCTGAAGCAGTAGCAGGTCCCACATGGATGCTGCACCAGGGCTGGAGAGGTACTTTTACTGGTGTTCGTGCTCCACCCTAGCACGTGAGCAAAGGGATGTAACCCCACCCTGCCAACCAAAGCCCATGGCTCCCCTATTTCTGGTGGCACCAGCACATCAGCTCAGCAACCTGCTCCACGCCTGGCAGCCCTGCAGATAAAAATGCTTGATCCCCAGTAATCTGGCAGTGGCTGAGTGGTGACATCCATCACCCCACGCAGGGAGAGTTCCTTCCCTCCACATCACTCACGGCCCTAATGGAGACAGCAAATAACTCACACCTGGCAAGTGTGACACCAGCGTTTCCCCCCAGGATCTCCCTGGGAGGCCGAGGCAGCAGTGCTGCCATCACTGCTCACCAAACCCCTCTGGCTCTGCCAGGAGGCCTTGGTGCTGCCCCTCCAAGCCAGGCTGGTGGCAGGAGCCCCACTCAGACACGGGCAGGGGGACATGGCCAGCATCACTCCCTTTCCAGCAGCAGCCTGCTCTGCTCCACAGCTCCCTCCTCTTCCCTTTTTCCATTTGTTTGTTCATTCCTTCTTTATTCTCTGCAATTGTCCTTAATGGAAACAGCATCTCAGCAGAGTCAACCCGCAGGAAAGCTCGAGCACAGAGGGATTTTTGTAGATGGCTTTAATAAAAACATTGAAGCTCTGTTGTTGTTATAGTGCTGTGTGATCCATTAAGTCTATTAAATACAACAGAGGAAAACTGTGAAAAAAGCCAGAGGAGGCCATGATGTCACGAAAAACAAACGAGCTGGGGCTGCTTTCCTGCTCCTCTGCGGCTCCACGGCTCTGCCCTTGCCTCGCTGGCCCTGCCAGCCCAGCACAGACCCATGTTTGCTTGCCTGTCATTTGCCACATGTACAGGTGAGTATTTGGGTTCCCATAAATGTAGGCTTCCTAGATACTAATCCAGAGGGTATTAAAGCCGAGGACCCAGAAGATCTGTTCCTCTCTGGGTCAACAGGCTCCTCCAGAACACGCGTGTGCTGGGCCATGCCAGCCCATGTGCACACACAGGAGTCTCTGGGGACACATGTGCTGCTGGCCTGGGTGTCCCACACCAGAAATGGGGCCCAGACCCACTCTCTGTGCCCCTTTAAATGTTCTGTGCCCCATCAAACACTCCCTGGCTGCAGAGAGCAATGGACCTGGTGATACATGTCCCCCCTGCCACCTGCCCCAGCTCAGCTCTGGCTGCACATTCCAACCTGGAACCTAAATCAGGCTGGAATCCAGCCCTGGCTCCAGGACAGATCCTCCATCCTGCTCAATACCAAGTGGCTGTGAAGACATGCAGGGAGATGTGCAGGGAGGGAGGTTTTCCTTGCTGGGGAGCCTGGAGCTGCTGCATGGGTGAAATGCCCTCTGCTTGGAGGAGAGGACGGCAGGAACCAGGAACAGGATGACTAAGAGAAGGTAAGGGCATCATGGCATGGATCATCATGGCATGGATCATCATGGTGTGGAATTGTCATGGCATGGATTGTCATGGTGTGGAATTGTCATGGCGCGGGATTCCCCTGGTGTGGCACACAGAGGCTCAGCTCTCCCACACCACCCAAGCATCCCACCATCACAAAACCCTCCCCAAATGCAGAAGCTGGACCTCCCTGAGCTCCGGGTCTGATGTGCCCTCTGGCAAAGCCGTGGGTGCCACCACCAACCCTCTCCTGACACTGCAGTGATGAACGACTGCCTGGGAAGTGCTTGGAGATCCTCTGCTTGGGGAGAATCCAGATTACACTTGTATTTATCTCTTTATCTCTTGTATGTCTTTGTGCATCCTGGCTCAACCTTGCTCTGATCTAAACCTTTATTCCTAGAAAAGGGATTTAAGGAAGGCTGAAGGCAGCAGGCAGGGAAGCAGGGATGGTGGAGGTCTGTGTTGTGCTGGGTACGTGCACAGCAGGAAGGACTGAGCCCTCCCCAGCTGCCTCAGCACGTGGCCAGTGTGCACACACCAGCCTGGGAAGGTGACCCGGAGGCAGATCCTTCCCTGAGCCCAAGGCACATGGTGGGATGGGCTGGAGACAGCCCCCTGTGGAACACCAGCACAGCGAGCAGGCATTCCAGCAATTCCCTGCACAAACAGCACAGGATCATCCATCTCTGCTGTTTATTTGCACAGGATAATTTTTTTGTTGACACTCGAGAACCTCCTTCCTCTGGTGCCCCTAACCAGGGTTCTATAGAATGTTAACCCCTGGTCTCACAGCCACACACCAGAGCCCTGCCAGTGCCAAACTGGGACAGCTGGGCAGGCAGCACCCAGGAGCCACCACAGAGTTGGCCATGCTGCATTTGAGGTGGGCACAGTGAGCAGGGAGAGCTGCTGCTGCCACGGCCCCACCCACCCTGGTCCCCTGCAGTGCCCTGTCCCCTCTGCAGTGATGCTCAGGCTCCCCAGGCACTGCCCAGGTTGTCAGAGCTCACCTTGTCTCCCTGACAGAGCCCTCCTGCCCCCCACCAAGGACCCTTTGGTGATATTTCAGCTGCTACACAAAAATACAGGCCCCGAACAAAGCACGTGCAGAGCTCAGGATGCTCCAGCCCCAGCCAGATGGGCTTTCTCAGGGAAGAGCACAAGAAATGAGTCACGTACAGGGGGATTTTATTCCCTGTGTATCCTCCCACGTTCTGCTGGGCCATGGTTTATACTTCTGGAGTCGCTTAATCACCCCTCTTGGACCTGCCTTCAAAGAAGATGCCTAATCCCTTCTGGAAACCTCCTAATACCTTTGGCTACTGCTCTGCCTCCTGGCCATGAATTATGTTGGGACTGGCCAGTCCTTCCCCAGTATCAGCCTTTCTGGCCATTTGCCATCCATGGTGACTTCAGAAGGGTATGGAGACTTCAAATAGAATCCCAAAAAAATGTTATCCCAGTGCATCCACCACTGAAGCATCCAATACCCACCACTGGAATGATATTCAGTGGCTGTGGCACTGGGGAACCATAGACAATACTTGGGACCAAAGTAGCAGAGGAGGGCTCTGCGTGCTGCCTCCAGCATAGGAACAAGGTGTAATTCTGCTTTTATTGTCCTAGTACACCAGGGAAACATCACTTTCCCAGGAAGTCGTGCCACAATGATTCACAAGTATCAGCCTGGAGTGTTCCAGTTAAAAGAGGAAAAGTAAACCACAAAATCCCAGAATGGTTTGGGTTGGGAAGCAACTTAAATCTCATTTTGTTCCACCCCCTGCCATGGGCAGGGACACCTTCCACTAGCCCAGGCTGATTCAAGCCCCATCCAACCTGGCCTTGGACACTTCCAGGGATGGGGCAGCCACAGCTTCTCTGGGCAACCAGTGCCAGGGCCTCCCCACCCTCACAGGGAGGAATTTCTTCCCAACATCTCCTCTAAATCTCTCTGTCAGTCTGAAGCCATCCCCCCTTGACAATGATCAAAACCTGCAATGCTTGGAAGCCAACTGGTCAGACTGGGACTATAAATACCCAAACACCAGGAATTAGACAAAGAGACCTTCTCATGTTTATTGCTTGTGCCTTTTTGGCTTGTTTTTCACCTCAGGAGGGTTTTTTAAGCTCCTACCGGCAGGGTGACCAGCCCTGAGACCCAGGGTAGCACAGTGAGGAGCTGACAATAGTGTGAGATGTTCAGTGAGAACCCTAACTGATGCCCTGACTCCTCAGGGCTCCAGCCTGGAATAGCACCATTAAGGGGATGTCAGTGGTTTACTGGAGCATGGCACAGGGAGCTTTCCTCGCTCTCCAGGCTGGGCTGCAGACGGACACACTGCTCAGTGGGTCAGTACTTCAAGGAAATGTCACCCAGCCTATTGTTACTCTGTAAATTGAAAGGTTGGAGTGTCTAATTTTGGGCTAAATACACCCCTGAGCAGAGCCCAGAGATGAAGGGGCAGGTTTATGTGCCCACAGTTCCACCCACCACAGCCACAGCTCCCACCAGAGCAGGGCATTCCTGGAGGGTCACCAGCTCCTCCGGCCACTGTGGCCACAGACACTGTCCTGGGGAGCCCATGTCCAAGAGCCACCACAGACAGCAAGGAAAAAACAACACAAATTCCAGAACCCACCTAAAAATCCACTTTCAGTAGAAATATTGCCATTTTCTGTTCCTTTCTGGGGGCACCTGCAGAGCTGGTAAGGCAACTTGGTCAGACTAATCCTCAGATTAGGATCTCTTAAACCATGAGGCTTTTCCTTCTCCTTCATGGACAAAGTGCAGATGTCTCTGCAGGGCTCTGCCTCAAAGCCAGAGCAGGAGATTCCACTGATTGCAGAATTGGGTCTGAATAAAGAAGTCTGGTCTTGGAATAACAATATTCACAGCGATAGACTGCATTATATAATGTCCTGTAATAAAAGATATTACAGCATTACCAGGAGACAGGAATGCAGAGGGAAGGAAGGAGCAGGAGTGACAGTGATAAATCAATCTGGAGAAGAAGTACCAAATGCAATATACTCTTTGTCTCCTTTTGTTTGAGGCTCTGATAGATGTTTCCAGGTTCAAATAATGGAGCTCACAGGAACCCGCTCCTGCTCCTGCCCTGAGCTGAGTTTATTAACCCGCTCTGTAAACGGCCACTGCACCTCTGCCATTCCCCCTCCTCTCTGGCAGCTGTTGGACAGATGTGCAGGACACTGTCAGGCAGGAGGGGCAGTACTCCCAGGTGAGACAATACATCCTAAAATTTCTCCTGATGATGACAGGAGAAAGTTGTCAGTTAGGGAGGAAACAGGAAAAGAGGTGAGAAGGGACAGTGTCCTCCTGGCGTGGGCAGCAAAAGGCTGTGGGCTCCAGGGGGCTGGAGCTGGGGGGCAAAGCTCTCCCCAGGCTGCCCCCCAAAACACAGAGCAGGGCTCTCTGCAATGGGGCAGAGAATGTTCCCCATCCCCAAGACTGTTTCACTGCTGTGCTTATGAGACAATTTAACTTTTGAGGCCTCCCTTCAGCAAGGGGCTTAATCACACATCTCATTTCCAGCACTTAAGTGAGTCCATTGACTTCAATGATTTTCTTCAAAGGAACACCAGAGACATTTCAGGCACTGGGCCCTGCTGGATCAGTCCTGGGCTCTGCTCCCAGGGCTCCAAATTGACCACTCACTTTTATGTAGGGCTGGTTTTTTTCCTGTCTTTGATGCTGTTAATTTACTGCTCTTAGGACTTTTAACCAGAGGGAACAAGAGGGCTGCGATTATTTTCTTTAAACTCTGGAAATTAGGAGGACAAAATGGTGACCTGTGACTCTATCCCAAGGTATGAGGTTGTCATTCCTCATAACGTCTCCCTGGAGTTTCACTCAGTCTGTCACACTGCTCTGGACAGGAGTTTTAATACTGGTACAAAGCAAAATGATGGGGTAACTGCCAGTGGTTGGAGCTGCTATCTTAAGAAACATTAATTCAGCATTTCTAGAGTGTACCAGGTGGATCTGGGACTTCCTCACACTTCTTTGAGGTGCAGCTCGATGCCTGGAGTGCAGAGGGGCTGGTGAAGGCTGCACAGCCTCAGTTGTTCCTCCTGTGCCAGACAAATGGGCATTTTGGGGACAGCTGAGGGAGAGAGCCTGGCTCAGTGACAGCAATTTAACCCTGAGGTCTGTGCCAGTCCTTGGTCCTCAAACACTCTGATGAGTAGGAGATTAACAGCCATGACTTTAACGGGCCTTGGCTTTTCTTTTCCTTATTTATTTTTACCAAAAAAGAAACATTTCTTCCCTTTCTTTTTAATGAGATGGGGAAAAATACGAATGGTTGCAGTGGCTCCTCATGCCACCAGCAGCACAGGTCCCCAGTGGCAATCTGCTCAGCAGGACAAGGAGCCAGAGCCCGGAGAACCAGGTCCCTGCTGCCCATGGGCTGTGCTGATGTAGTGGCATCCACGGGCCAGAATTCCCCTAGGATGGGGAGGGAGCAGGGGTGGAGAGATGGGCCAGGGAGCTGTGCCCCATGGCAGAGCCAGCCTGGAATACCCTGGGCCTGGGGAGGCAGCAGAGGGAGAAGCGATGGAGCAGGGAACTCTGCCCCATGGCAGGGCCACCCTGGAGCTCCCAGCAGGATCCTGGCTCTCGGGATTGCAGAAAGCAGGATCACTGCAAACACCTCCCAGAACACCTCAGCTCAGCAAGGAGGATGCTCCTCCAGCTCTTCTGCTTCTCTCAGGAGAGAGGGGAGCAAACCTGGGAGGGATGGGTACCCCAGAACCCCTTCCCTCTGTGCCACCCATCCGCCTCATGCGGTCTCCAATCACCTTCCCTTCTCCTCTCTGCTCTTTCCTCTTCCTCTCCCTCTCCTTCCATTTGTGTTTCCACCCTGACTTCCCCTCCCTGTCACCTCTAGCAATGCCCTCCCCCCCTTTATCTGTGGATACCAAGGAAGATTAGACTTTTTTAATTACAGCTCCGTTAGCCGCGGTGTCTCCAGCCTGGTCCGGCAGCGGGGCTGGCTCAGATGTTCCCGTGTGCAGCCCTTCTGCTCGGCTACACTTGTTTATTACTCGTTCATTAGCTTTTTTGCGTTGCTGGAGATCTGAGGCACTCACATGGCGAAGGAGGCTCGAAGTGACAGCAGTGAAAGCCGCTGCTAGTGAGATTATAGCTGCTCGCTGGGGCGGGTGGGAGCGCTGCAGAGGGCACGGGGAGAGCACTGCCTTTGTGCGCTGCTCAAAGGGCCCTGTCAGTGCGCGTCAGGCAGCCTCCTGGAAAAAAGGAACTTTCCAAAACCCCATGAGAACTGGTTAAATTAACCCTTTCCCTGGTGGCCACCCGCCGAGAGGCCCCAGGCAGAGGCAGGGAGCTGCCTGTGCCGGCCCTGGGCCCCACAACGGGTCGTACGTGTGCCTCGTGCTCAGCACAAACCCTCTCCCAGTCTTTATCAGCGGGCTTATTTTTATCAAATCAGGACAGAAACTTGGAAATCTTGCAATAAGTCAAGTAGACAATTATAATTCCACCATCGAAACACCCGCCCTTGTCTTTATGGTGTTAAATCCCCAGGCTGGCTGTACACACTCACAGGACACTGCAGAGCCCTCGGCACTGCCCCGGTGGCCCAGCTGGTCCCCATCTCTGCAGCCACCCAAAGTGGTCCCTTCACTCTTTCCTGCCCTCACTGCTGTGAGATCCTGTGGGAGCAGAGCAGGAGGGGACGCTGAGCCAAGCCCTGCGTGTGGCCGGTTGCTGCTGCAGCTCCAGGGCAGTGGGCACAAGGGAGCACACTTCCACTGAGCCCAATTTAGTATTTAATTACAGAGGAATCCTGAACTAACGGAGCAGCGGAAGGTGGGTGGTGAAGAGGCCAAATGGTCCAAATCGACTGCACCACAGCCACCCCTGGGAGTGCTCAAAAAACGTGTGGATGTGGCCTTGACAGTGCTGGGGGAATGGTAGGACTTCATGATCTCAGAGGCCTTTTCCAACCTTACAGATTGTGTGATTCCATGGTTCTGTGAATGCCTGAGTTCCCTGTGTCCATCCCAAGGACAGACAGCTGTGCTGCAGTGGTGAATCCATCAGGAGGGTCAGGGTGTCTGCAGGCAGCTCCCGTGGTCCTGTGAGCACTGGGGGAAGAGCCGAGATGAGTTGCCATTCCCCAGAGCCCTGCTCCTGGGAAAGGGGCTCCCTGCTCCTGCTCAGGGGTGTTTACACTGAGCCCTGACAGATGGCCTGGGCTGTGGATGTTTATACAGCATCTCCCGGAGGCTCCAGACAGCCCCCGAGCTCCCCACCAGCACTTCCCTCTCCACTCCAGCTGGGCTCCCAGGCTCAGAGCTCCACCAGCGGGGCAGGATTGGGCAGGGAGGGTGCTGCCCTCCAAACACCCCCTGGCTCATCCCTCCCCATCAAACACTGCTGGCAGCATCCCTGGGGGACCCTCAGGTGTCACCACTGCCTTCAAAGTCCCCAGTAACCACTGGCTGATGTTTGTACCTCCAGCCCTGGGGAGGAAAGGGGAAGGAAGGCCTGGAGGATGGGGAACATCCTGAATCTCATCACCACCTTCTCCAAAGGGCCATCCCACAAGGCCAACCAGGCACCAGTGTCACCCTGGGCTGGAGCAGGAGGACACTGGGCCCCGTGATTGGCAGCTCTGCCCATGGCCTGGGGAGGGAGTGTGGGCAGTGGCTGTGGTGACACTTGGCATCAGAAGTGACAAAACCCTGCAGAAGCAATGTCCCTGTGCTTTGAGCAGGTGCCACACGGTGTGGCACAGTCCCACCTGCTGTGAACAGGTCCTGCAGGCTGTGGCACGGAGACACATTGTGTGGTAAGGTGTGGTCCCCTGAGCACAGCGTGGTGCCCTGTGGAGTGTCGTGGTGCCCCATGGAGGGGTGTGATGTGCCATGGAGTGACATGACATGGTGCATCACGGTGACAGATCTAGGGCATGGCACAGGCAGGAGCAGTCTGGGGTCTGCCAAAGAGTCCCAGGAACGGGGGTCTCCTCCGTGCCCACCACAGTGGCCGCAGACCTTTCCCTGGGGAGGCAGAGGCCGAGATGCAGGGGACACACTCCAGCCCTGACATTTCGCTTCCCGAAGCAGAGCCCGCCCACCCCGGCACCGCCAGCTCGGCGCTCACGAATGCACCCACCGAGGGGCTGGAAGGGGGTTAATTGCTCCCCTCCACCCCGGAGCGCCCGGGGGCACACGCGTGAGAACGGGTCCCTTGCACAATTTGCATCATTCAGAAAGAAGCACATTTTTCCCCAACTGCTAATGAATATTGCAAATTCCGAGGGCCGGAGGAGATGAGTCCTGCCAGGCCAGATCGCGCTCTGCAGAAACACTTTGTCACTTGCTGTTCCCATCACGGCGCTTTAACAGCCCGACAAAGTCGAGCTCATGATTCTGGACAGCGAATCTCTTCAAAGCCCGCACGGCCCCGGCTCCGCTTTCAGGTCATGGAAATGCCACTGTCACTTCGATGTCGGAATGTCCCCAACACGTTGTCAATAGGGATGTGAAATGCCCCACTCAAGGGGAAGGCAGACAAAGGGAGCGGGGCCGCCGTTGCTCCCAGACAGCGTTCCCGGCGACACAGAGCCCACCAGCCCGGCCCCGAGCAGGGGGGTCAGCACCCCCCTCAGCACTGCTCAGCACCCACATGGGCACAGCTCTGCAGGGCAACCCCAAAAAACAGGCAGGAAAAGGCGCTAAGGTGCAGCAGAGCCCCGTGTCACCCCACGGGGACAGTCCCAGCACTGCTGCTCTCCGTCCGTGTGTGTGCTCCTGCCTGTGCCAGCATGCCACCGTGATTCAGTGGCATCAGGAAATCGGCCTGTGTGCCAGTCTGTGCAGTGGCAGCCCGATGCCAGGGTGATGGGCAGTGTCCTGGAAAGCTGTCTAATGCCCGGGCATGGCACATTAATTGAGCGGGTCGGATACAAACATAACCACAGGGATAAGTGTGTTAGCAGCAGTAACAACCACATCCTCAGAACAGTCTTTTCCCCAGTTAGGGAGATTTTAGGAAAGCTGGGATGGAGCTGGCAGCGCCTTGGAGCTGTTCCATTAGTGCTCACTGGCTCGGCTGCCCCCGTTTCACTGAGCTAAATAATAATATCGTTCATCTCCGGAGGCAAGAGGCTGCTCCAAGGAGAAGGGACGTGAAGGAAAAAGCTGCTGTCCCTCATGGAAAGGTCAGGGATCCGGCACTGCAGGGGGGCTGTCCCAGGGCCGCGGGGGGGGGGGGCAGGGATGGGGTGGCATCACCCGCTGTGCCTGCTCTGGGACAGACATTCCCATCCAGGCAACACTGCTGACACCTGGGTAATATTCACCAATAGCCATAAATTAATCCTTTTTTCTTTCATGGTGTCACAAGGTCACATTTTATGGCAAATCATTATAACAATCTCTGTGAGGGCATTACCTGCTGTACTCATACAAAATACAGTGAATTCCAGAGCCCAGCTGAGCCTCAGCACACATGGGGACACACTTCCCAGGGCTGGAGGATGCTCGTAGGTTGCCACTAATATTTACTACTCAAGTCTGTAAATATTTAAACAAACTAGGCAAATGCTGACCTAGGGAACCAAAATGTTTTGCTGTTGCTGAAGGAAATGTACAAAAAGACCCAAAAGAAAGTGAGTTCATCCTCAACTTTCTCCCCTTTCTGCACATGGATCCTGGTCTGCTTTGTACCTCAGGAATGGACTGGGATACAGGCAGCTGACACCAATAAATGACATTTACTATTATTACTCGCTAGGAATGATCATCTCTACCAGGCTGGCAGGAGGAATGGGCTCTGTCCTTCCTGGTGCTGCTGGAAGGGCTCAGGGAACACCAGAAAGAGCCGGGGCTGGTGATCATCCAGTCCTTGTGCTTTCTCCTTTTTTTTTTTTTAATAATTGACACAATAATTTTCTTCCACACCTCTCTGTACTTTAATCACCTCTAACACCAGGTGCTTCTTGGATAATTTGACCTTTTCAATCTCTCTGTCCCCCGGTAGCCTCTGGGCTGGGAACAAAACAAACACTAAAATTAAAGCTTGTTTTGAATCCCGGGTATTCTGCACCGCTGCTCCTTATTCCTCTGATCCATTTCGTGGTAATCACATCTCAGATGGGTTAAACTCCTTCATCCAGGAATGCTCTCCCAGGAAAACAGAGGAGTTCTCTGAAACCCTCAGCATCGGCCTCATCTCCCGGGTTTGGGTAATTCTGTTTGGTGGTTTTAAAACTGTCAGTACAAAATGAACTGCAAAGGGAAGTAGCTTTCGTGCTGAGGGTTAAATAATTAGAAAGTAAAAAGAAAAATATCCAAATTTTTCAATACAATGAAGCAAGAGGGAACTTTGTCATTTCCACCCTGGCCAGGGGGGCCAGCTCCTCCCCAGCCTTTCGGGGACACTTTGACACATGGAGCCAGCACCAAATCCTCATGATCTTTATACAGAAAGAAAATATTTCAAACAGCAGACTGTTCCCAGAATGACATTTTAGGCAGTTTCTGTTTGCAAGGACACTCACAACACCATGGCCACGGCCTTTCCAGCACAGCCAGGAGAGCTGCAGGCACCAGTGATGGGGCAGAGTGGAACCTGAACAGGTATTTGTTGGATCATCAAAAACATTTCTTTGAGGCATTTTCATTTTTTACAGGGAGATTCATATTACAGTCCTTCATTTCAATTCTAATACAACCAAATTAAGGAAGAAACAGGAGTATTGGTTTCCTGTTTTTTGATTTTTCTATTATTAAAAGAAAAAACAGACAAAGGGTAATAACTGTGCACAGCCTCATGTGGGAAAAACCCCAACATTTCACATCAATTTTCTTGGACTGAAATCAAACCCAGACAGTTTGGTTTGTGCAGCAGAAAGGCAGCGCTGGGGCTCTTGGGTTGGAAGACAGTCTGTGTGGGTTCCCAGCAGCAGGGGTGTCCCCACCTGCTTCCCTGATTTGTGGGTTTGTTCACCTCGTGCTTGTGTCGAGTGGCCAAAAGCACAAAAGGACCATAAGAACGTCCCTGATACCCCTCCGTGGGCTGGCAGAACATGGCAAATGTGAACAACAGTGACTATTACTATTGGAAGTGGCACCCAAACACAGGGAACGTGTTGGTGCTGCTGTGTTTGGGGTCCTGATTGACAGGGCTCTGCCGAGGGGTGAGGAAAACGCCTTCATTGAGCAGGAGCTGCTGCCGTGCTGGTTGGGCATCCTCGCAGCACAGCCTCCCCCGCAGCCCCCGGCCACGGCCCCTCTTCCCCAGAGCCCCCCGTGCACGGCGCCGGCTGCTCCTGCAGCACAAGTGGGTCAGCGGGGGGGTCCCGCTCCCCTCTGACGTGATCGGCAGCGATGAGGGGGCTGTGGCCCTGCCCCGCTCCCGCCGGGCACTGTCAGGAGCCATCGCTTCCGAGCCAGGGCCGGGCACCCCCTGCCCTGCACCCCCTGCCCGGGGGAGTGGGGCGGGGGGCTGGCTGGCTGTGGGGTGCTCTCCCCTCGCCAGCGGGGGTTGTGATATCAAATCGGGGGCTGACCCGAGCCCTTTGCTCGTGCCCATGCCCGGGGCGCTGCTCCTCCCGCTGAGTGTTTGCCAACCATTCATCTGCTATTTCTGCTCATTATCACTGTGCTGCAGCCAGAACATGCTCTGGGTGGGAGAATTTGGGTCAGTGGGTTTCACAAGCTGTTCCTAGAGATGCCACAGCCCATATTTAGCATTTGGCATTCCGTGTGGGACCAGCCACCCATCCTCCTGCCAGCTCTCTGTATCCTCCCAGCTCCAGGCAGGTGTCACGGAGGGGTGGGGGGGGTCTCAGGGAGCCTCAGGGAGAGGGTGAGGAGAAGGCTGCAAGGGACAGACAGAGATGGGATGTTTCCAGTCTCCTCCTGTTTTCTTTTGCACAAGGCTGAATATTTTATCTGGCTGCGTGCGTCGTCCCTGAA